AACTACCAGCTTGGTTCATAAATTAATGAATGCGCTTTCGTTGTTTTTTGGCGGGTTTAGCTTCCCTTCGATAACTTCTGACATTCGTTACAAATAATTCGAGTCGCATATTTTCTTGAGCACAACCAAAGACATTACAACTAAGCAGACAAAATATTTCATTAATAAAACCCGTAATAGTTCGGATTATTATTAATTTGACAAGATTTGTGAGTGTGAGAGAGAAAGGCACATCTCTTAGAACTTAGGCAACATTGTACGCCATCTGTCGGTTTTGGCCGTCAGTGGTGTAGAGTTTTGATTAATTTTATGTATGAAAATAATTTATTTCTTTAATCTTAAAGGAGTAAAAATTTATTGTATATATGTATTTTCAGTCATGCTATCTTGAGAACGGCTCTAACAATTTTCTCGACAGTTGGTATTTAAGGGGTTTTCAACCTTGGTCAAATTTTCCGGAAATCTCGTTTTCAGCGAGTTTTTCAGTGCTTAAAAATACATTGTTTTATATAGGAGTTTTTTATGCGATGCCTCTTTTTATGCCACGCCCCCCGGCCGTGATAAAATAAGACAGAAATCTACAATTTTAGATTTCTGCATTTATTATTGAGCTTCCGCCGCTCATTACTAGATGGCACCACAACTTTGATGTTTATTTTTAAGCTTTATTTCTAGATATTTAGTTTTATTAAGGCCCTAGGTGACATTTTTTAATAATTAAAATAAATAGTCAAAAAATATTATAATAATTTGATTGGAAAATTTGGAAATATTGATACCGATGCAAAAAATCTGGCAACCTTGCTAAGGGCCAGTTTCTCAATGGCGACTAGCGAGTAACCCCCGGGTTGGTTTTATCTCCAGGGTAAACGTGTCCAGTTGCAATGTTTACCCTGGAATTATGCTTAACCCGAAGGTGACTTTTATTGAGAAACTGGCTCTAAAGCGATTTCAATTAAAAATGCACTTTTCATCGATCCCAGGTGCCTAAAAATTAATGATTTTTCAAAATTATTATCGATGCGGATAAAAAAAAATATTAAAATTGAATCTAATAGTGTACCTACATTGTGATAGATTATGTTTATGTAAAAAATCATGAAAATCGGCCCAGCCGTTCTCGAGTTATAAGTTCTGTAATCAACCCGACGATAGATAGATAATACAATTACGTCAGTTGAATGCGAAAATTTGAATTTTTATGTTTGTTAATAAAAAATAATTAGTTGAAAATTAATCATTTTTCCGGGATAAAAAGTAGCCTATATTACTCGATTCAGTTCCCTTTATATAGAGACTACGCGGTATAAATTTCAAGGAGATCGGTCCAGCCGTTCTCGAGTTGTAAAAAATACAGTTACGTCGGTTGAATGCGCAAACTGAAATGAATGTGGCAACGTTGTTTCATGTTGTCGAAAAAAAAAAGTTGGGTTGTGTATGTGAATGAGTTTGTTTCTAATAGGTCTGTTTCTGCAGAAATCACAAACCGGTCAGAGTTAATTTCATTGGTTGAAACTAGTTTTCTGACTGTTTTCAACCAACGAAATTCGCTCTGACTGGTTTGTGATTTCTGCGGAAACAGTACTCTGCTCTGCCGGGTTTTATTAAATTGTTTGAAAACAACCCATTCAAGCATCACTACTATAATAAGAAAATGCTGTGCGAATCAAGTTACTATGCTCATTGAGCGAAACATATTTATTCACTAGTCAAAGGAAAATATCCAACTTTTCTTTTATTAATTTGCTCCTGAATTGATGAATAATTAGTTAAAGACTGTTTGAAAACGCTACAGCCCAAAGGAAAGCTGTATATTGCAGTTCTTTCACCCGTAATTGTTCATGGTTACCATGCCATCCATTTCTGTTTAAAGTTTAAATATTTGTGATCCAGTGTCCATTAGTGAATGCCAGTGTAGTCGCCATTTTATTTGTCAAGTCAGAGTAACTATTTCGATAATTAAAATTACAAGATGAGCTTCCTTATGAAAACTTATCGGGAGAAGATAATGTATAAGGCGTTAATTAAGCGTGATATTCGACTTCAAATGGATATTGTTGTTGAAGGTAGGATTTGGTACTTTCCTTACTGCAATCTTTCAAATTATACAACTGGTGCTATATCACTGGACCGGCAGTTTGTCAATATATCTTTCCCAGCCTCCTTAAAAATTTCGCAACGCGCACGCGTTCTTCATGTGTAGTGAATTGTTAAACCTGAACGGCATTGACGGCCATTACCTCGTTGGCGACGTATGTTTGTGGCTTCGTTTTTGTATTTTGATTTTGTTCTTGGCCTTGTGCTTTGGGTAATTTCTCAATAATTATGGAAATAAGTTATTGTGTTGTTTGTGTTGTCGCGCGAAAAATCATTTGTTAAATAGATTTTAGGCCAAATTTTCCGGCAACGGAGACAACTTGGCGAGTATACTTGTAATTAAAATAACGCATGTAGGTAAATTGAAAAATATTGTTATTCTTTTTTTCAGATGGAAATGATGGATTTTTTTTTATTTCTATTTTCCAAGTTATTGTTTTAGAATATAAGTTTATTTTGTATTTCTTCCAAAGAATTTATTCATTTATTTCTATAAGCTAATGAAATATTGACTTTTTCCTATAATATTGTATCGTATTACCTAAATATTAACTATTTTAGATATTTTTATAGAAATGCATTTTTATTTCCTAGTCATTTTCAAAGATTTAGGAGGAATGTAACTTATATAATATGTCTATGATTTTTTTCGATAAAACAGAAAGGCTTCGATTCCTACTACCAAGAAAAACGAACAGCAGAAAATAGTACATTAAAATACAAGTTTCATAAGACCTCATTTTATCGCACGAGCCCTATATTAGAAAACGAGCCGGAGGCGAGTTTTCTAAAGGGCGAGTGCGATAAAATGTCTTATGAAACGAATATTTTATACTATTTTTTCTATTTTGGTTTAATTTTAAAAAAAAAAAAACTTTTCTTGGAAATTATTATTCTTATATTTCCTGATTTCATATGTTTAGATTGGTAACACTACATGCCAAATATAGAAATCTTCTATTAGTTTTTATCGCGAATGACAGTTCGATGGCCATCAGTCAGCCAGTGTTACCAACCTTCGATAAGTAAAAAAGGAGTGTCACAAAGAGTTTCTTTTCGAAACTACTTTTAGTGTCGAAAAGACTTCGATATGACACCAAAATAGAAAAAAATTGTTATGTCATACCAAGTTGCAGAAAAAGTAAAATTCGATTTTTGGAATTATTTACTAGCATTCCGGTATATAACATTACAACCATGTATAGAGTTATGGCCTTGTGATGAAAATCCATCAAATATACTGTAAAGGACCATAAAATTTGAGCAGGTATACCCAGCGTTGGCCCAATGTGATGATTCAGGCGTTGAATCGGCTCAACGCTGGTTTATACTGTCGGCCGGGCGGTTATATACGATCTGGACCAGTACCTTTTTCATTAAGTTGGGCAGATGCCTGTTATCCGGAAAAGCGGCATTTGTACGATGCTGGGCCGTAAGAAATGTGTTTGTTGGGCGGATAGTTTTTTTATTCATGGAAAGATTATATAGGTAATTAATTAGCATCTAGGGGATCTAGGTTACTTTTTGTGCGGCTTCTATTCTATGGCAACTTCGAAATTTTAAATGTAACATATTATATGCTACCTATAGTACCTACTCATGGCATTTTTTGGGAAAAAATTAAACTGCAAAGTCGACCAGGGCCGTATCTAGACCAAGATTTTGGTGGGGGAGGGGGAGTTTGACAAGTATCAAAACAAAATGGTTACACTAATAATAAAAAATTTAAAAAATAAATAAGTATTAAATAAGTGTTGCTTGTTTTTAAACGAAATTTTTTAATTTTATTATTTGTGGGGGCCCCCTCAGATACGGCCCTGAAGTCGACAATATTTTTGTTGCGTCTTTGTTAAAGTAGATTTACGAATGGACAGGTATCCCCAAACTCACAGAAAATGCATATAAATGTGAACATTTTTTAGTTCCATTTGTTATCATTTTCCTTAACAAAGCCTTGACAAGTACCTACCTATGGCATTGCCAATTTTGTAATTTTCATTTCTATCGAAAAATGCTATACCTAATATAATTTGTGTGCATTCAAAGATTTCAACTACCATTTCTGTACCCAAACTGCAGCGAAAGTGGTAAAATTGCAAGATTGTGCACAATTTCCCCAATTTTGAGTGATTCATACCAATACAAAACCAGAATCAGAAAAAAAAACTAAGGCTTTGTTTGGCATCAAGAAGCCAAACAAAGCATTTAGAAAAAATCCAAATTTCATGGAGTTATTGCCATGGCAGTCTAACTGAACAACTTGGCGCTTTCAGTCACCAAGACTCACGTGCTTTTTCAGGATTAATCTCGCCTGAAACCTATGAAATTTGAGAAAAACCAAATCGCCTGCCTGTTCAGTTAATGTTGAGTATCAATGCCGTCTTAACTCTTCATGATATCTTATTTTGTGACAAAATGAGAAGTCGATAATATTATAGCTCATTATTTGACTTGAATTTAGGAACGATTTTATTTTTATTTTCTCGTTAGCAGGTTTATGGTAGCTACAGTACCATTTGGCATTGGAGATTTCCTGTTTTCGATACATGAGGGACTCTGTTCAACCGCAGGGCCCTAAAACAGGTGGCGCTTTCTTTGACATTTTTTTGCCCACATCACTCTCCACTTTGAGAGTTAGTCGGCCGCCCTAGAAACAGAGTTACCACTTTCTCATTAGGGGACTGACACCCACCCACATAACTTACCCCTCTTCTTCCCTTCTCCTTTTAATGACTTTTGAATATACATTATCGACCTTCACAATTTCAGAATGCGTTAAAACATATGCTTGATATAAAGTCAGACAAAAATCAGTTTTGTAATCAAAAAACATATTCAATGAACACAAAAAGTTCATTAAAAATTTGAATTTGAAATTTTAATAATATTTTTTGTTTTTTAAGTGGTTCTTTTTTGCTGCTGCATAAAAATACGAGTGCCAAGGACTAAGCAGGAAATCGAAGCTGATTACAAAAGAAAGAAAATTGCAACCAAATTTAGGAAAAGACTAAAGATAATTAGTAATCAGGATATGGAACAAGTGGATTTGCGAAAAGGTATGTTCTGTCAGTTTCTAAATAGATCCTTGAAAAGTCTCTAAATCATGTTGAAAATAGTAGTTTTCATAATCAATGCGCAAAGTTATCGTTCAGATAAGCTCCAAGTGCGGAAAAACTGCTTCGAGCACGTGTTAGGAAGAATATTTTTTTCTACAAATGAAATAACTATACATTTTTGTTTTAATTTTTATTTGCATCAAAAACAAGATCCTATAACTACCTGTGTATACTTAAATTACCTATTAACTATATTGAAAAATATTCCCGCACAGTTTGCGGGAAAGTGCTACTTTGCGCACGCAAATGATTGCGCAAAGTAGCTACTTTGCGCACACTCGTAATTTTTTTTTATTTATTGGAACATTTTTAGCCCTAGAAATAATAATAGAGGCAGATTACAAGCAAGAACCGCCGATTTATGATGTACCAGCAAACGACAATGATCCATTGGTTCCTGTTGCTCCTAAGGAGACGTTTGGACAAAAAGTTGCTAACGTTATGCTCATCGGTAAATGGCGTACCTCTAGTAAAAATAAGGACATACTGGTCTAAGCAGTTAACTGTCTCGCGGAATGTGTATTCCTAAAGGTATCAGAAGTTTGGAGTGGTGGGAATCAGTAAATACTTTTCTGATAACGTTCAAGCAAATACAATCAGTGTAACTTGTAAATATGTAGGAGTACGCAGCTTATGTTCAAATGACTTTAAAAAAAAAGTATTAGGAATGAACATTTGCTGTTCGTGGAAGACAATTCGATATCAGTACAAATCACATTCGTGAGTGTGTGTAATAATTGCATTAGCTCATACGATAGCTGAGAAAGCTAATGGTAATCTTTAAGCGACCTACAATGCTGATTTCTTGCATTAAAATAAAGTAGGTAATTTTCTCACAAATAAATATTGCAAAATACATTACAGATAGTGTTTAGAATGTTTTTGCGATTTTGATTAAATTTCATTTCCATTCCAGTTTTATTTTCCTGAAAAACTTCTTTAGGTACGTGTAACAAACACTATTTCTTGTCATACGTGTCATATTGTGAATCTTAGTGAATCTGTACATATCGTCGCTGATCTGACAAAGGGGCGTAACGGTCAATTATTCCGTATTGGAGTTAGGGTCGCCGAGGGATTTCTTAGAGTTGTATGTATGATTTGACAAGAGGGTGTATGCTCAAAGGTATTACTTTTCTCTATACATTAAATCAGCTAAAGGCGTAAGTACACAGAAATTGCATATAGGATCTGACTAAAAGGCGTATATCCAAATATTAGAACTTACGCAATTTTGTTAGATCCTACATTGCGTCTTTTCGGAAACGCTGATCCGATCAACCCGATCACCAGCTTTCTGTCTTTCATATTTCTTCAATAAACGTGATTGATGAAAAATCGAATCAGCGTTTCCGAAACTTTCTCTCTCAAAAGAACTTTTTCAGGTGGTTTATTTGAATTATTTTAACAGTGAGATACTAAACATCCTCGGTATGTACTCATTTTTTTCACAATACCAGGTGCTACCAGCTCCAGCATCAATAAAACATATGTCACAAGACAAGCAACAAGCTAGCAAATAAATAAAAACAAAACTGTCATATTTTTAGAGGTTAACTTATTCAGTAGAAAAATACCAATTTTTTGAGTTGTCCTAGAAATTTTAAAATTGATAAGACCGCATATGAACACTTGTAAATGTTTGAGATTTTGGCTTTTTGGTGCGTGTTTGAATCTATTTGTGTATATCTCAAAAACTACAGATTTTTATGAAAAAAGAAAAATAGTGTACCTATATATTTTGCTTCATATAGATTCAATTAAAAGTGATATTAAAAAATGTGCAAGGACCATATTCCAACACTCATTTTCGGCTCGTGTTTGAATTATCATTCTAGTGAATAATAACTATCATTATATGCTCGTTCCAACAACTTCGCAGTCTGTCAAAAACTATGTGAGTGGAAGTCGAGCAACTCGAGTATGTCGACTATCGTATGTCTAAAGTAGGTAATCCACAATCCGCGAAACCACCAACAATTTCTGTCGGATCACCTAATTGACTGTCATTATAAGGCCTTTTGTTTGCTATTCTGGAGGAATTCCTGATTGTATTCAAACTAGACTAGAATTTATTGCTATCATTTGATATGTGTTACGAAGAGAAGAAAGTGTTATATGAGTCTTGTATTTCAATTTCCATTTCGGCCCGAATACGTATACACTTATCCAGAGAAAGCACACTGTTCTCGTTTTTTCGGTTTCTTCCGAGCCAGATTGAAAAGTCTAAAAAGATGTTGAAATTTTTCGAATAAATTACCATTTTTATTTAAATATGTAGACGACATAATTTGTTCGTTTTCCTTCAAACAAACAAGAAATCATTAATGTTTTCAATAATTATAATTTAAATATTCAATTTAGAGAAGAAAATTAAAAAATAACAGCGTTCTATTTCTAGATACCAAATTAATAAGAAACAGAGCTAATAAAATTTTGCTAGATTGTAGTATAGTATGTTAAACCATTTTCTTCAAGGAGGTATATGAATTAATTTTCTTATCATCCTGAAACAAAAAAATTATCTTAGCTCTTGGAATGAAAAATAGGATAATAAAAATATTTCATTTAAAAATTCTGAAAGACGTATTTCTGGAAAATTCTGAAAAGTTACTTAATAAACTTATTTAATTTTTAAAAGATATTTTGGCACATACGACAAAACCACGAGCCAACGGGCGATTGGTTTTGTAAAAAATGTCATGAACTAAATTGACAAAAAGGAACAAACATGAACAAAAAAAAGACATACATATTTTGCCTAAAAATTTGTTTCTCTGATGAAATTTGACAAGACTATTTCACAAGAAGAACAAGCCAAACCTCAATCTTTAAGTAGAAACAATGTATTATTCAAATAAAAAAGGATTATTATTAATTTAAAATTTGAACTAAATGTGCAGTTAGTAAAATTAATAGTAGCTCGTCCATTTTATTTAATCGAATTCTGGTTTTGAGTTTGGTTAACCTGCCGCAATTGAGACGCGGTAGCTACAAAGCATGCTTCATCGGTTGTTCTGAGGTTTTCGATGAATTTTAATTATTTTAGCTAATTCGTGTTTGCATCTCTGGTAAACTTAATCAACACTTGGTTTCCAACACCATGTTTAACCAGGGCAGACACAGCGAGCGATCGATGAGAATAATTTGTTATTTTATGTTTTCTAGTGTCAATTCCAATTCTTTATACTGAAGTTTTGGCCCACTTAGATATGGTGTTATACAGGGTGTCCCAAAAAGATACCGACAAACTTTAAGGGGTAGTAGGGGACATCAAAACAAGCATTTTTGTTTATATAAACATATGTCCGCAAATGAGCCATTTGGGCTGTAGAGCAAAAAAACTGTTCGATACTTTTATTCTTCGCAATAAATAAATCACTGTTTACTGATTAATTTTGCTTTATTATGAAATATATTATGGTTTAGATTAGAATAATTGTTCAAAATGTTGACCATTTACATCAATGCAAAAATTACACCGTCGGGTCATTGACTGAAAAGTTTAGTCTACGAAACACCTGTTCGTAATGAGGAAGATCTGATAGCAAGAAAACTGAGGAGTTGTACCCATGTAGAAGCTATTCCCGGAATATTCCAAAGAGTTCGCGAGTTGAACAATTATTGTAAACCATAATTTATTTGCTATTAAAGCAAAATTAATAAGTTAACAGTGATTTAATTATTGCGAAGAATAAAACTAGATACCAAACAGTTTTTTTGCTCTACAGCCCAAATGGCTCATTTGCGGACATATGTTTATATAAACAAAAATGCTTGTTTTGATGTCCCCTACTACCCCTTAAAGTTTGTCGGTATCTTTTTGGGACACCCTGTATATATTTTCCTTATAGTGTGTTTTTGAACCAATATGGCTTCTACCAATTTGGTTAAACAATGAGAAATATTCTGTCTGTGGTAATATTTATTCCCGTTTTTTCCATCATCTAAAGAAATATTTTTAGAGGGCATAACTTTATGTTTGATAAATCTTTAAAAAACCATTTGTTGATTGTCAATCCTTCTGTCCCACCTTAGGCTGTTTTGGATAATATGCTGTTATACTCGAATATTCTCATGTGATCAAACTTTTTTTCGATAATAATAAGCTTGGCAGTTCACGGCCTCAGTGCCCCGCCAAGCAAGTCCAAGTTATTAGGATTTTTATTATCTTAGCCTTGGATTATTAGCATCAAGTCTTCATAGGGATTTTAAACTTAATTTTCTCTTTTACGAAAACCTTTGGAGGCATTTGCATTTGCATTTGAGCATTCTTGAAAGTGATATTCGCGAAATGACAATACCCGGACGCATCGGGAGTGTTTATTGAACTTAGAGTTTATAGAACAGTCATCCCGTACCCACCTATAATAATATGGGCATTGCCTTTGACCCCTAATTGAAATTCACGGAATTGTTAATAGATGTCGCCCACTCCGAAGTTTTCGCTAATACCGATACAAGAGACGTTTTCTCGCGTCTCAAATGTTTCAAAACATTTTTCATAACTGGTTCAAGTAATGTCACCATGACGTCATAATATCTCGGCGCGAGAAAATTGATTTTTTGAAACCATTTTGAACTCTCTACTGGATGATACAACAACCTAAACTCTGTGACATTTGAACTGTCACAAAAATATATTTATTGTTCTTAATAATTTTTATATATTTTGGACTCATTTAAAAGTACTAGTTCGTACACCTAGCAACATATATGATTCTTCTGACTAGTTTTCCTAACTTAATATCGAGAATTCTGTTATTTTCAAGAAACCTGTAGCGCTGTAATTTTTATGATTTTGACAAGCTTGACAGACAAAGAAAGAAAAGTGTTAAGTATTATATTCAATCACGATAAGCACATCGAAATTTCATATATCACTTAAAAACCATTCCTCAATGATCCGCTTAGTAACAAGGCGAAAACTCTTCCGTACCATCCAGCCCCGTCGCCAGATAGCGAGTTCAGGACTTCGATGGAGACCGAGATGCAAGGGGAAGGGAGGCAGCCGCCAGTGAGGCGCCTTTGAACGCTCTCGGGAGTTGGTGGCATAAGCGTTTCAGGCAATAACAAATAAAGTCTTTAAAAAAAAATACCAAGTTCAAGGTGTCTCATTTCATACAGTCCACTTTGTTTCAGTGCGTTAACATAGATTTTTTGGTCCATTCGACCCGCATTGTCCAGTTAATCAATAATTAATTAATACGTTTGTCCAGTCCAGGACAGTATTAGTCAAGTTTGCAGTTGTGACATTTTTGAAGAAAAAGGCGTCCAGTTCAGGGCAAAAGTAAACAAACGCTACCAATCAGTTCAAGTGTTTAGTGTATGTTCAATCGAGTCTAGTAAAGCTGTTTCACAGTAGGTAAACAGTTCAAAAATTGGTGTTTGCAAGGTGATGCATTTTTTGCAAAACAAAGTGTACATAGTGCTCAGTGCTCAGTGCTCTAGTTATTGATGACCAAGGATATTGACGTTACCAGGCTATCAGGTAT